TGTACGTACCTACTACAGAATATTTTCATAAATTTCAGTGCAGTGATATAAATTAGTGAAACATTTGTGTAGTCTCTCGAAGCTGCCAGATATTTGTTCCAAAAATAAACCAAAAGAACCATGAATATTTATCGGCAAGTTTATTTGCACCGAAGTTAAATTTAAAACATGAAAGCAGCGTAGTTTCACAAACGGACAGGCGACCGCAAAAAATTTAACTGTCACAGTTATGTATGACTGCGATATATTGGGAACTCTACATATTTCAAAATGGATAAGTGCTTGGCTAGAACAAGCATTGTGAAAAGTGTAAGAAGAAAGTGCCTGTTCGTTTTTACATGAGATAAACATAAAAAAGGTATTCAGAATAATCGTTTTCACACTCGAACTTCTAAATCGATTTACCTCACAAAATTAGTGAAAGAGTAGTATGTCAACGTTCGAGATTCAAATTCAAATCATTTATTCAGTAAGTACTCGGGCCCTTTCTAGGACACTTTCACACGTCCCAAATATAGCTTGCCCTACAAGTTCGGGTTAGTGATTATTATTTAATTCTACACATTAATTTTGTTCAGAAAGCAAAAGTATTTTACGACTGTGTTTTGATCACGAGACGTGCTATGAAGGTGTTTTGTTACAGACTAAGTCCACACTACTGAATATGATGTCAATATGACCCAAACTACGGAAATGACCGTGTAGTACCTACTTAAAGTAACACTATACGGGAAGCATATTTACATAACCCAACGACATTTAAAAGCCTGTCATTTTGTTCCCACATCCACAATGGGGCGATATCCCACACGCTCAGTCATTATTTTTAACGAGCCGTATCTCCTTTCGCATAGGAACGTGCGTCTTGGGCCTATTAACGACGCTTACAACTGAATGCTTTGGGAGACGAGGTATACTCGAAATAATGTATTAAACAATTTATTAGAAGCTTCTGCTAAGGTGGGGGAAATGGGTTATTAATAATAACTTATTATACTTGGGATGAGAAGAGTTTTATCTTTACAAGCTTATGCCCGCGGCTCTACATGTAGAGTTGATACATTTTAAAATGCGTGTACACTTATCACACTGAAATTCACGTATAGTTCTTGCAACTCACGAAGGCGAGTGAGCTTTACGTGTGTGTACGTGTACAAGCACATAACGTCTATCTAAACTTTTGAAAAATAATAGACTAATAACCGAATTGAGAACCTCCTTCTTTTGTTGAAACCACACATGTGAAGCTCACTCACCTTCGTGAATTGCAACAACTATAAATGATTCGGACTCTTCCTCAACAGCTCGCGTTTCTTTATATGAACTACGAGGACCTACTGTACATGATAAAACTACAGAACTATTCCTAAATCCTAATTTACCTTCTAAATACTTATTGGACAGTTCTGTACTACTCACGCTTATTGTTTTCTCATGCAAGTGACTATGGTTTTAATGAGAATAAATATTCTTTAAGTCTAATAGATATACTTTAGGTTTGAGATGTATCATTTGATATGATTAAAAGAGAAAATATCTATAAAGATTAACCAGTTCTCAAATAACAATAACTTTATTTAAACCTAGCTTTTGAGAGTGTGTAGTTGAAACTACCTCAGTAATTTGATTGCAGCTGCTTATAACCTCGTCTAGACACAACATTGGAGTGTGAATACCTTGCTAGCTAACGGGGGCTCTGACTAATGAATATTGAAGACTGCGTTTAGTGTTGTTATGCCATCGATAGTTTTCTGATCGATGAATGATTTGCTTCAATTTTCAACTGCCAATACCCAAATTAAAGTAGCATAGTATTTTGTGGTGACTATGGAACTGAACCTGTGTTCAACTATCTTGCTGCCAAGATTGACATATTTTATTAGGTATACGCATGACGTATGCATACATGTAACTCCGGCAAAAGTCTTAACGGTTATGACATTGACTAATCCCTCTAGTAAGATTCGACACTGTTACAACAGCTGTCTGGCACTAGCACGGTGTATCATAACTTATGCTCTACGTATACAACTTCCTCTACAACGAAATAAAAGACAAAATCGCATTTTAATTATCTAACAATTGTAGTGCCACCTGCCACACAATCAATTATATCGATAAACAAGACATTCAATTAGATTCGATAGTTTACTTAGGACTTGGGACAACACTGCCTGCATTACCGCACTCCTCAGTCTCGCCTATCGATATACGCCTCAAATTAGATCCGAAGGTAAATCGCATCAAATCCTGAGATGAAGGATAAATATTATTAGCACTAGCAAGATCTAAAAGCCATTACAGTTAGGCTGAGTTGCATCACCTTATTTTAACTGTAACAATAACAAGAACCGGTGCTTTTTGTATGGAGTTTGGCAGATTTTTGACGTTAGTCAAAGTTAAAGTAAGATGGTGCAACTCAGCCTTAGTGTTTCTAGGAACCGGCTAGATAGACTAAACGCCTTAATTAATAAGCATTTTCACAAATAAGAATGAAGTAACTTTGCCCATCAGTATAACATTGGCTCAAAATACCCGTTTAATGGCGAGTTTAGTACTTTTTCGTTTTGATTTTTTATATTTCAAACGAGCTTTATAAACAACGTGTTAAAGATACATAAAAACTTATTTTAAGTAAATAATTTAAATCAAAGTGAAAAAAAAAAACTACTTAAATTCGCAATTTTAATTGAAGCCACTGATGGGCAAAGTTACTTAAATTGGCTGTGGTCTTGTGACACTTTTGCTATCAAATGAAATGCATAAACAACCCTTGGAATGTCTACATTTGGAAACTTTAACATCACAGCAAGGTTTGCAAAGGATAATATTGGGTCAAAAAGTTGCGTAATTCGTTTATCTCATAGTCAACTACAAAAGTAGAAAGTATGACCGTTATTTGTATAGGATTAAGGTACACATTGCAATATGACCCTTGGGCCGGATAGTCGACAAATAAGTCCGGTAGTCACGAGCATTTGAACCAATGTTTGTTTATTTCATTCACGTTTTGTGCTCCTAGTGAGCACTCGTAGTTTTAGGTTTCAGAGTTGTAGCTGTTCAGATTAGGTTAGTTTAGCGGATAATGTTCAATGTGAGCGATTTAGCTTGATTAATAATTGAATAGCTTGGCTTATTATTCTCAGCACTTGCCAAATGTTGGTCTCGAAGCGCTGGTAGGGTAAAAAGATTATGAGACATGTAGAGGCTCCTTAAGAGCATATTTTATGACGATTTGTAAGAACTATTTATTAGTCTAAACAAATAAAGAAATTTTGACTTTATTGATGTTTACTTGTGACGTTAACCAATATTTTAGGCTCAGAATCATAATCAGAATCAGAAATATTTATTTGGTTTTACAAGATATTATTATTACAATTGGCATGTCCACATGTTGACTTAATTAGTCGTGCAAATATTGAAAAAAAAAAAAAAAATTCATAGTTACTAGATGGGGGTCTATATACACATACAATAACATAGTCGTCCAGTTCTGCACATGACAGCTCAATAGTTCGCTCAACAGAGAGAGATACAATATCTTTACGCTCTTTACATTTTAATTTATCATTGATTAATATTAGTGACCCTCCACGAATAGCTAACTCTCTAGTGAATGAACTAATAAGCTTATAATTATTAATGCTCAGCATTAGTTCATATTGCCTGAGCCAATGTTCCGTTAAACATAAGACATGAATATTCAATTCTTGGATAAATAACTCAATTTCCAAGTCTTTGCCGGAGAAGCCTTGTACATTCTGATGCACTAAATTAAAACCGTTAAATTTCTTTGTACCCGAATTTTGTATGCCAGAGTTATCCTCTATTGTCTTACGATGTAATTTAAATTATGATTTGGAACAGATTCCAAGGGTCGAACATCCATGGTCTGCTCAATAAAAGCAGTTTGGCTAGCCAAATTAATGGCTAAATATTTAATAAAATATGATAGCGAATTCGCTATTCGTCTTTTACAATATTTATTTAGATAATTATATTTATCTATTGTCAATAAACATTTATTTTTTAAATAATTGTTAATGTCAATTACATGGAATTTGCATTGATTATATGTCAGTGTATTCAATGTCAAATTCAATTTATATCTTAAATTATTTTCCTCCTGTGGCAAGCTTCTACTGTAGAGGAATGTAAACAAAATTATTTTATCTACATTAAGTAAACATAAACTATCAAAAATATTTAGTAGGTCTTTTTTGCCTACATTGCCCCTATTTCCTATTAAAATTACTAATGTGGTATTTATTGAGAACGAATAATTTGTTATTTTTCTCATAATTTGTAAATAGGAAGCACCCGGTAAACAATGGTTGATCACACTTTGTCCCAAATAACTATTAATCAGTTGGCCCATATTTTTGCCTAACTCATCACTGAACATTACTATGTTGGTTTTTTCAATATTTTTAGTTGGGAAGCCGCTGGTAAATGTGTGTGATATCCTAGGACAGTAGTCTTTGTTTAGGGTGTTTAGAGTAGGTGGTGACTCACAACCAGACTGAAAAATTAGTCGATAACTCGTTCGGTATACAGCATGCGGGGACTCCCCGCATGCGAGATAACGACCAATGAAAGTTGGAAGTCGATACGCGTTCGGTACAACGCCTGCGGGGATTCCCCACATGCATTATACCGACCGTGCTATCGACCAATGAAATTCATCATTCGAATTTCTGACGCGCTATGCCTGTTTCTATTTTTTAGTAAACTTCGCACCCAGATTGCGGGCCCAGTGGCACGCGTTCCAGAAATCTCTCGCACTCCGCATGCGGACCCTATCGACGAATGAAAACGGTTCCCCAAATGCGGGCCCTGTGGCATGCGTTCCAGAAATCTCCCGCACGCCGCATGCGGACCCTATCGACTAGTGAAATTACGCCAGAACGCCCAGTGTGCGGGCAAGTGGGAGAAAGAGTCGCATTCCAGCGAGGTGCGCAGTTAGATCGTGTTGTAGTAACAGTCAGGGCACTCACATATGTTCCTGGCGTGGTACCGCTTGTGCACGAAGCTGCCGCGCGCCCACGCGGTGTCGAACTCCAGCCCGACGGTGTAGTTTCCGGCGCGCAGCCGCAGCCGGCACTCCACCTCGTACAGCGAGTGCGGCGTGCCGCACTTGTCTGTCACCACGCGGCATTGCCTCTCCTGAGGGGAGACAGTGACGTGACGGTGAGGCCTTAAGGTGGCAGTTCGCATCGCGACAGAGACAGGAGACCGAGACGCGAGACCGCGAACGTAACTTGACTTTAAAGCCTGGTCCATGAGCACGTAGAATCCCGTCCAATGACCCCAAGCTGCCCATCCTTGTCGCTTGTACGTAATTATGTTGCTGTCACGCTCGCACAATCACTGCGGGCGCGCGTCGCACAGTCGCGACAGCAATATAATTACGCGCGAGCGATAAGGATGGGTAGCTTGGGGTCATTGGACGGGATTCTACGTGCTCACGGACCAGGCTTTAGACAATGTATAAGCATGACATTGCATTGATCGAATCAGAAATGAGGAGATCCGTAGGTGAACCAGAGTGACTGACATAGCCCGCAGAATCGCTAAAATCAAGTGGCAGTGGGCGGGGCACATAGCTCGAAGAGCTGATGGCCGCTGGGGCAGGAAAGTTCTTGAGTGGCGACCACGAGGTGGAAGACGTAGCGTGGGCAGGCCTCCCACTAGGTGGACCGACGATCTGGTGAAGGTCGCGGGAAGTACGTGGATGCAAGCGGCGCAGGACCGGTCTTTGTGGAAATCCTTGGGGGAGGCCTTTGTCCAGCAGTGGACGTCTTTCGGCTGAAACGAACGAACGAAGCATGACAGTTCGCAAGCGAGACAGAGACAGACAGGTCTCTGCCTTAGTCAAGTAACGGTTGCGGTCTCCCGTCTCGGCCTCCTGTCCGTGGCGGTGCGAACCGCCACCTTTAGGGCGCTTTCAGTCTGCGGGCACGAAACTGGCGACGGCCAAGCGAGGCGATAAGGATTAGTATTGCGATCGCTCCGCCTGTTTCGTGCGCGTCACCATATACTGTCCATGTTGTTGTATGCATCGCCGACGTCGCGTTCGCCCCGCCATCGCTCGGCCGTCGCCAGTTTCGTGCCCGCAGACTAAAGGTTCAGCTACAGTGGTTCTTAACTGGTGGTCCCTGGAGGCATTCCAAGTGGTCCGCGAAGACATCGTAATAAACAAGTGACGTGACGTGATGAGTCAAAGCAACACAACGCAAACGGCGCACAGTGGGCGAGAAATCGACCTCCCTATTCATAGGATTTTGAAAAAAAAAAAGTGGTCCCCGACAAGACAGAAATTTGGTAAAACGGTCCCTCGTGACTTAAAGGCTAAGAACCACTGAGCTAAACCAACGCAATCACACGCGATCAGCCGGCGTGCAGCGACAGCGATCAATGCATTTAAGTCTGACGCTGCACACCGGCTGATCGCGAGTGATCGCGTTGGTTTGGCTGAACCTTAAGGCTCACCATACATGGACAGCTCGAGCAGTTAGCTAGTGATAAAATAAATGGCTTTTGCAGTCATAATCAATTGAAATTTCACCGGGCTGCCAACCGCCCGAAGCAATCACAACTGCTCAAGCGCACTTCTCGGTGTTTATAATATGATCAATAAACTGGCTCATTGTAAAGAGATATAGGAGATTTTTGAAGCAGCATGCATTTCAAAACCTATAAATAATGATAGCTCAAGAATACAGGTACATTAATGAGTCTATTTGATACCAGTTTGCGTCTAGACAGCTTTCGTATGAAGCTAGCCTGTTGCCGGTTTTAAAAACTGGTCGAGGAAGCTCAAAGTAGTGTGCTTCTTAGTTTTATTTAAAAATGTATTAAATGCATTCTTTTCCTTTCCTTCTTTCCTAAGCGTAAACCTAGTAAATTATGGCCACGATGAATGATAATTATCTTAAAATAAAGAAAACACCAAATTCTAAGAGACAAATTGTTTTTGTACAAAAACCAATTGTTTAAACATGACAAACGTTTTTCTGATATTACATCACTAGCTTTCCGCCCGCGGCTTCGCCCGCGTGGAATTTTGTCTGTCACAGAAAAACTTTATCGCGCGCGTCCCTGTTTCAAAAACCGGGATAAAAACTATCCTATGTTCTTTCCCGGGACTCAAACTATCTCTATGCCAAATTTCATCAAAATCGGTTGCGAGGTTTAAGCGGGAAAGCGTAACAGACAGACAGACAGACAGACAGACAGACAGACAGACAGACAGACAGAGTTACTTTCGCATTTATAATACTAGCTTTCCGCCCGCGGCTTCGCCCGCGTGGAATTTTGTCTGTCACAGAAAAACTTTATCGCGCGCGTCCCTGTTTCAAAAACCGGGATAAAAACTATCCTATGTTCTTTCCCGGGACTCAAACTATCTCTATGCCAAATTTCATCAAAATCGGTTGCGAGGTTTAAGCGGGAAAGCGTAACAGACAGACAGACAGACAGACAGACAGACAGACAGACAGACAGACAGAGTTACTTTCGCATTTATAATACTAGCTTTCCGCCCGCGGCTTCGCCCGCGTGGAATTTTGTCTGTCACAGAAAAACTTTATCGCGCGCGTCCCTGTTTCAAAAACCGGGATAAAAAATATCCTATGTTCTTTCCCGGGACTCAAACTATCTCTATGCCAAATTTCATCAAAATCGGTTGCGAGGTTTAAGCGGGAAAGCGTAACAGACAGACAGACAGACAGACAGACAGACAGACAGACAGACAGACAGACAGACAGAGTTACTTTCGCATTTATAATATTAGTTGGTATTAGTTGGGATAGTTGGGATTTAGATATTATTATTTCATCAGTAAATAATAAAACCAATTTTCCTTTTAATAACTGTAAACTGTTAAATATCATTTCCACTTAGATATATTTGTAAACAAGTTAATTAATTATTACAGAAGCCGACCTATTGACATGTCAGCCAATTATTAGCCTACTTGTAGATACTCGTATGGTTGTAAGCATCTAGCCTTTTTAACTTTTTCTAAGTGTGAATTTATCTTTTCTGCATTATGTATAGAGTCACGATGTTTTGACGTGTTACATTATAATAAAACATTGCTACTTGTTTACTAGTGGAGGATGTTTTATGAACATTAAGGTATACAGGGTGTCCCAGAATGGGTGAATCAAACTGCTAGGGGAGGTAGCTCTACTAATGTACTATCCCAAAAAAATATGAAAAAAAAAAATTTGAGTTCGGTTTTTTTTTTAAATAAAGTGCTCCAAACTCGAAATCTAGTCATTATTTTCAAAAGTTTCTTTAGAGATAAACGAAGCGATCATGTACAATTAATATTAGTAAGAAAAAAGTACAAATAAACTCCAAACGCAGCAATTATAGCCAGTTACTCAGGCAAAGCAGATTTATTTTCACTTTTTCAAAAAAAATTTTTTTTTGTTTCCTTATGTGTTTTATTTTTTTCATATTTTTTAGGGATAATGCATTAGTAGAGCTACCTCCCCTATCAGTTTGATTCACCCATTCTGGGACACCCTGTATGTTCCATAGAACACGTGTATTATGCAGATGAGTGGTGTGAAAAGGATTTTATTTGACGTATTTTAGGCAACAACCATCTGACGTATTTCAGCAAATGGACCATTATCGCTCTGATAGGTACTTACCGACATATTTGCGATTCCTAAAACGCAGCATGAAAAATAAAGGAATTTTTAACAAGAAAATCCATACAATCATCTTCTCATTGTCAACCTTATCTTCAAGTAAAATTATGTAAATATTATTATAATCTTTATACCATATATCAATAATTTAATGAATTGATTGACATCGTAGCTATTCAAAATATTGCTCTTTGATAAGAAAATAACTGAGTTTAGTCCAAGTATTGCAATTAACTATCTATTCACTGTAAAGGTTATATTATAGTTTCATTTGAAATGAATAAATCGATAAGTAGTTGAATGGCAAAAGTCATACATGTCATGGTTCTTAATAAATTTTTGTTGAAAAAAATGTCCTAACAGAGAACAAATAAAGTTATTTTCACTTACCTCAAGCCCATGATCTTTATCGAAGCCTTGGCACAGCGTCAGTATGTATTTTGTAGCAGGGATGTTTTCAGTGTAGAAATATACAGATGTGTAGTCCCTAAAAGTAATAAAATGGTCAGTATTTTTTATAATAAACAACATAAAAGTACAAAATTATGATACCTTACATCAAACTACGCAGAAATTAATGGATACATACATTATTTATTATTCTAATTATTATTTTTAATTTTGTATTATTTTAAATTTATTTCAGACCATTACCATCCATACTGTTGTTAGTAACAATGTACTTGAAAACTGAGTTAGTACTTATCAGTAAAAAAACCGGTTTTGGCAATGTATTTTGAAGTTTTAACGATTGCCAAATTGATACTGCATTTAAATATTGTTTCCGTTCACTCAAACTAAGCAATATGTATTTGTGAAAACTATTTTGGCAAATATAAAGTAATATTAGTAATACTATATTTTCTATATGTGTAACAAAATACAGTTTGTTTGTTGTAATGAACAGAAAAATACTTTACCCATGATTGATATCACTTCCTTTGATATTTGTGTTGGAGAAGTCTTCTCTGCGATAATCATTAACGATGTTGAACCGCGAGTACGCGCCGAAGGACCCGCGGCCAGGGAACCAGCTCTTGAGAGAGTAGTTCGCTTTGAATATCAAGTCCAGGACTGTTGATAGACATACCTGGAGAAATATTTGTGATAAAATATTTGAAAAATAGCAGTGTGGTTGTGCTTGAAAAAATTGGTAATTTAATGCAAGGTTTAGACAAGAAATAAAACTTGCAGAAGTTGGCTTGCCAAAGCTATTTACAGTGTTAACCAGCTTGCGGAAATCAACAGCATTGCTAGTCTAAACCTTGCATTAGACCTATTTACAATTTCTTGATATTATTATGCCCATACACACTATTAAATAACACTTTCACTTCATTCAAATATCTATATCAACACTATCTCAACTTTGGAATGTGGCTTTGGTTTTACAAGCTCCAATTTTCTATTAAAATATCTGGTAAAACTGACTACCCTCTTCTCAACAGATTATAAGATTATTCACAAGAACATCTTTGAAGGTAGTTGATAAAACCAGTAATTAATTATTAACATGATGGTGAAGTTGAACTACCCTCAATAAAATTTATTACTGCGGCCACAAAATGTTAAACCTGCTAACAATTTCTGATCTTGGGTGCTCTAATATTATATCTTAAGCGTTGTTTATTTTGGGCGCTAACATATGGCAGGTTTGAGGAAGAGTTCAACAAGACTTTAAACAAAAAAATGGACACCTATACTCACAGAACTGCAGGCCAAGGGCTCTGTCCAGTTCAGCAACTCAGAACAGCTCGTGTGTATGGAAAATCTGTTCTTAGGCTCGGGGTAGGTAAGCTCATAATTCCACACGGTATCGTTAGCGTTGGCGTCTGTACACCACTCCAAGATGTAGCGCGCCTTCACACCATCTTTAGATGGCTGCAGCGTCGGTTTGGCTTTGGTAACGTTGCTGCACCTCACCGAATAGTCCCCATTAACACCACATACACCCAACAAAAACACCACCGCTGACGAAGTCACCAAAATATCCATAATCGCAAAATGCCGAGCCATGTTTAGATTTTCACACTAAACTACATAACTTGCATTACATAGTAAAACGATTTACGTATCTTAAAATAAACTTAACAAACTACAACGCTAAAAATAAATTAATTTAACACTGCTATCCTGTTTGACTGGATTTTTTATGACCATAGACAAAACCCTGTAGTGACGTTTTTGTTCGAAATAACGAGATCACAAACAACCCAAGGAAACGTTGAAAATACAGCTTTTATTTTTTTTAATGTTCTGTTTACAGAATAGCAAAGTAGATGGCGCTATTGTACTCTGGTTCCGTAATTAATCAAACCAAATTATGTATCAAGACAAAATAACAGATTTTTTGATTATAAAATTTCTTATTTATTATATCTCATGTTTACAATTTGTACAGCCCCCCTAGACAAAACGCACTTTTTGATCGAATCGAAAATCGAATCCGTCAAAACTCCATACAAAAAAGGGGCTTTTCGACCACTTTTCGACTGGTTTGCGATTATAATTTGCACTTTGTCTAGACCCCCAGGTTTACAAAAATGTTGCGAAGTTGATCGATGTCAAGAATTTGACGATGACGATGAAAAAGAAATGACAAAGGCGTTTGAAATTTGTTTCATTGTTTAAACTTTTTTATAAGTAAGATTTTCATATGTTTTCGCACATTATTTCCAGAATTTACATTTTCAATAGGTCGATAATACGGACACAGATTAAACAGCCAAATTCTAACTAAAAATGTGATAAGCAGAGGGCGCTAGCGATGCTGGTTTTTCGTGGGTTCTATAATGGCTAAATCTAAAACAACCACAAAATAATGGAAAACAGGAGTCTAGGTACACCTGTATCATTGATCAGGGAACGGTGTAAGGAACGGCTATGTCTAAAATTACCTTTTTTGCTGCTCTGTTGGCAAATAATGATACAAGGCACGTTCGTTACGCCACTGATGATTACACGGTGCATAGCCAAAACAGCTAAAAATACAGGCTATGTTTTAATAAAATTATGACGTAGAAGGTCAAGAAAACACCAAAAACGTACACCTCATTTACTTTCCACACCCAAATAACTTAAATCTATTTACATTCACACACGCAAGCATAAATATTGTGTAATATTAAAATCCGATCTGCTGGGCGAGGACGGCGTACATGGCCAGCGCGGTCAGGCCGACGACCGCGGCGTGGACGGCTCGGAGAGCCAGGAGCGCCCAGGGGTTCAGTGAGAGGATCGCAGCGACGGCGTCTTCGAGCAAGGAGCGGTAGGGTGCTACAGCCAGCAGGGCGAGTACCAGCGGCGCGTGTCTTCGCGGCAGGTCGCTGCGAGACGCGAGCCAGACCAGCGCGGCGGCGCCGGCGTGCTGTAGCAGCGCCACGTTGGATTCTGCGCACGCGCGCACGTAGCGCCAGTCGAATTCTGCGCCGCGCGCGCCCACCCATAGAAGGATGCTGCGCGATACTAACACCTGGAAATAGCATGACCAAAAATGTTAATCGTTTAACAAAATTATTTTACAATTTTTACTACTGGAAAAACATGCAGTTTTACTACTGTTCTATGAAGGCCTTCCTCACTTTTAATAATTGTCCTACAGGGCTCATAATGTTCTACTTTTCAAGTTTATAATGGAAGCAATGAAAGATTGAATACTGAGTGTTGAGTATTCATAACTCAAGCTACCTAGAGTACCTAGTCATTTAAAAGTGCAATACTTTTTGAGTATCATTATTATTCTAGTTTGTATCAGGTTTTGTTGTTTCTTTAACTCATTTGCATAAATTAGAATGCAAAGAAGGACAATGTATTTTAGGAATAATAATGCAACTGAATTTGTTCGTCAGTCAGTATAATACTGTCAATAATATAGCAATTTACCAGAAGTCAAACTGCATCTACACTGAACAAACTAATATAATATTGTTCCAGTACTGTATCAGCCTCTTATTGCTAGATGCACAGTGATAATGAGATCTAGTTGCCCTCAAAATAACTGACTTGACTACAAATGTCTCAAAAAGTAGATGCATACTAAATACCAATTTGAATATAAAAAATATACAAAGATTTTCACAACAGCTTCCTATGACTGTAATTGATGGCGAAAGTCATTTAGTCAACAAGCATTAGGATACGCAAACAATAAGTTCTAAGCAAATGGTTTATTTAAAATCCTATTTTAAATAAAAACCCACCTCAGCGCTGGCCCAACCAATAGCAGCAGTTAATATCTTAGCATGTCCTTTTCCAGGAACTGCGTTTAGAGCAAAGTACAACCCCAGCAAGTCAGCAAAGTCCACCGTGGCCTTCAGGATCTCCTGGAAATTGGAATGGAAATGGTTACTGTTGTTGTAATGGGTTACTGTTAAGTTATGGTACAATGTTTACGTCATTGTGATATAAAAAGAAACTTGTAAGGTTGCAAATTATCTTGAAGAACATTATTAATATTCTAGGAAAAATAATAACAAATAAGATGCCGATTACTCACCAGAAACACATCGTATTCACCATCTAATTGAGCGCTATCAGAGTCAGGAAAGAATGTAGCCAATAGTAACATTTTACATAGCTGGGTAAAGATGTACAATCCACCTGCATAAACGCATTTCGAGAAGGTCGCATATTCAGAGCTGAAACACAGAAGTTCCTGTCATGTAACCATTGTAAATGATAAGGAGATTCACCTTAAATTTTATTAGGACACCGAATTAGTACTGTTTAAAGATTACTTACATCCCTGAAAACTTGTATGCCATATGATACGGCGCGTAGACTAAGGCTAGGCAATTACCGAAATGATAAAGTGTCATTTTAATTTATTTGGGCTACTATTTCGCTTAATATTACACGTATTTAATTAAATTACGATAAAAATATTCTGGTCAACTCATAAACCAGATAACCTCAATTATTGACGTTGACAGTATTGACAGGATAGAATTGTCAAATTTGACAAGACTACACACTTCTTTCCTTTCCACGGTTGCTCGCACAGTGTTCGTTTACATGTACCAAATAGCTTGGTTTTTCTGGGTTGTTATGAAAGATGATAAAATATATTTTGATAAAGTAAATTTGGTGGTTTAATGCTTCATTCCAAGATCCTCTTTCATTTCTTTGTTAATTCTAATGGATATTTTAAATTATCACTTTTGCGTGGAACGAAACGTTTATACGCACTCCGTTTCACTACAACTTTTTATCTCATTTCTTAAAACTCTTTAAATTTTACACAGAAATGTAAAATTATCTATTTTCAATGAACAATGATTTTAATTGAATTTGTCAATTAAGATCCACTTGCCTTTGAATTCAATAAAAGGCACAAATTGTGATTTTCTTATTATTTTACTGTTCTAATAAATCCATACAATAAATCAGATAATGTGAAATGAAACGTCTTTAATGCGGGAGAGTTTGTTTACTTGTCAAACTATCGATTAAAGTACGATGATTTTAAGTTTGTTTTTACGCTTTAATTTTAAGTTAAGTTCATAGTTTAATTGTTATTCATGTGCATAGAATACGTTATGTAAAAGTGCATGTTGTCGTCATAATACATTTTTTGATTTAATGTACTTTCTTAAATTTAATTTGCACAAACAGCTGTTCACTCATTTATCAGTAAAATTAAAATAAATGTGACAAGCTTAATGTTAACATTGCCTATGAAAGCTAGTAGCACGCTTCTAATAACACTTGCTTGCTATAAAACATGAAGGGGTTGGGAAAGAAAAACAGAAAGAGATGCAAAATGAGGGGTGCTATACAGAAGGGGTAAGTTGTTTAACCCTTTCCTTTTTTAGCACAGGCGCAAAAGGGTGTGGGGTTTTTTACCCAATGGTAAGGTAGGATTTGTCAAATTTTGAATTTATTTGTCCGGAGATCTCTCCGGGGTGGCTCGTTGGGGCCTCCGGTGAACTTCCCCGGCAGTTGCCCTTTGTGTCTGACCCAAGCAACCACTCTTGCATATTATTAAAAGGTGCTTTGAATGTATAGACTCCTAAAAGTTAAAGGAAATTTTAAATATTAAACACAATGGAGTGTTCTGTTGCTGAAAATGTGAAGTGTGGAAAGTTTTTGTGTATTTTTTGGATTGTTTTCTTCATTTTTAATTTAGGTGAGTTTAAATTTTCAAATTTTTGTAATGGTGGTTTTAAATTGATTTTCAGATAATTGGTATTCCTGTTTGAATTAGTATGTATTAGCTAAATACCTACTATCATTTAATTAAAAAACACTACTGAGGGACAATATTAATAAAAAATCTTAGGAATTGTTGTGAATTTTCATAAATTAATACTTGGAGGAAGGCACCTATTAGTATGGTCTAGTTCATTGCAGTAACTTAGCTAATAAATTAAAAAAAAATACGAATGTTATCTTCACATTTAAAATTTTAGTATTACAAAACATAAATAACAGTGAGTTAAAAAAGCAGTGAGATTGATTGCATTTGGCACTTCCTAATATTCATAAAATGGTGGTTGTTTTTGCTAAGGAAAGTTTACCTATTTCATCACCCACAGTTTAAAGGTTTTATAATACTTATTCTTTCTAAGAAGTTATATAATAATAATAATAATAAATAACTTTGACAATCTCACACAGCGCCATCTAGCCCCAAAGTAAGCAATTAATATGCTTGTGTTATGGGTGCTAGCTTAATAATATGAGTGATAAGTATTTTAAAAAACTTATTTAGCTGCTAAATCTTTGAATCTTTAACATTTTCCTGATATAAAATTTAATTAGGTATATTATGGAAAGAGATAGCTTCATAAAATACAGACTATGTCTATGATAAATATGTCTATTTCATAATTAGAAGACTCAAAAGGAAACGAAGACAATAAAATATTGGGCGTGACTGCGTGATTTGAAATGGTGCGCGCGATCTGATGAAAGTAGGTACTAGTATGGATTTATTTTAATGGCTGAGTCTAAAAAGTTTCTTTAGGAGTCAGTTAATTAAATCTATTTTCGGATTACCTAGCTATTAACAATTCGTTTATAAAATGTATGTTTAATCCTTCAAGGTCCGCGAATCTAGACACAATAGATAATCAATTGTTATGACATTAATTAATGCCATCCTGGGACTCAATCGGTTAAATGATACTTTCCTACGTTTAAGTTAATACTGCTTTAAAATCATGGCAAGTACT